GACAATTCCTTCATCGATAACTGTCGTCTCATCATACTGCTGCTGCTGCTGTTGTTTTTGTTGTTGCTGTTGTTGTTGATGTTGCTGCTGTTGCTGTTGTGACTGTTGCACCACTTCTTTCCCGACATATATATCTGCGTGCCGGACTTATATTCCTCTTTCCCACTATACTTTCACATAAAAGAAAATTGAAATTTAAAAGATTTACAGCACAAGGAAGAAAAAGCTTTCCGAAATCAACTAACATAAAATTCCATCATGATATTTTGATATCAAACGGTTGATACATCGAACTTCACAAATTAAACAAAAGTTTCCTGTTTATACTATTTCTAAAAATTATCTTTAACAACATTACTTTCCTCAACAGCTAGCACTAAATTCCGAAAAAAAGCTGAATACGTGTCACACATTACTATAAATCTATACATATTATCTTCCATTACTAATGTTTTCATTTCATCACCTGCTATTTACTAATTATCCTTCAATATGCATTATATTATTACAGTTCAAAATTAAACTCAGATTATTGGTCTACCAAATCGAAGACTAAATTTTAAATACAGCTTGTAAAACTTCTTCATAACAATCAAGGAAGACCTTTTATTCTAATTTTATTCGGAAAAAATATTTTTCATATATACGCAGGTATCGAAAGATTCGGAATATTAATTATAACAGGCAAACAGAAATAATGACAAATTAAGAACGTTCATTTTTTGTTTCACTCTGTTCTAAATCCTCCTCGGCTGATAAATCAATGTCTTCAAACTGTTCGTTTTCATGAACAGCAGCCGTAGAACTGTTTTCCACTGATATGCGGGACGCCATTATAGTTCCACTTGAACCTTCTGTTCCATCCGCTGTAGCTCTCGGGAAAGTCGCTAAACGACCGAAAACGAACAAGTGGGAACCTAAAATATATAAAAATTGAAATTAAATCCTCATATTTCTTAGAAATAATTTGAATGATGATTCTGATTTCATTGTTAAAGCTTACCTTCATCGACATTTTCCCTGCAATATGCAAGCGATGTTCGTGTTCCTAAACGTACTCGAAAATCATACTGGCCTATAAAACATCTAAATGTATTGAATCTTTTCAACAAGCATAATCTCGACGACGCAAAACATATTTTTTGAAACATCAATTTATTTTTCCTGATGAATCACCATTTAAACAAACAAATGCATCATGGAACTGCACCATCAATCGGTATGAATAATAATATAAAAGTGTGAATCTATTATATCGAGGTCATATTTCGATGAAAACATTCACAAAGGCAAACAGTAATAATGAATTCCTCATGACAGTCAATGTTCAACAAACATTTTGTTCAATCTGAACAAAATTTATTCCTAAATGTTAACGAAGATTATTACTGGATATAAAACCGACGCAGCACTATATCATAAATAATACCTCCAAATGAATTTGAGATGATTCGAACAACTCCAAATTTACCTCCATTTCTGGTTGTTCCATAGAACGGTTTGCTCGTTACTGTTCCACTGAGGCAGACTCGATTGACGCTACAATATAATTTGCGTTGTTTTAGAGAAGGAATAAACAAATGGCCATAATAAATACGGAATGAATGAATAATTAACTAAATAAATGACTTAGTAATTATAAATTTAATTAACGCAACTAATTTCTGAGTAAAACTAAATCGCCATCAAAACGAATGACTAATTGTCTAATTAATCAGTTAATTAGCCAACTAAAATAGTTTGAAAACAACCTTCCAAAATTTCAACAACAAAAGGGAATGTGTTATGCTAACGATTTAAGGGGAGATATTTGCAAGGTCGCAAAACAGCAGCAGTACTCGAACTGTAACAGGATACCTTACTTCCTACGAATGACCGTCGGAGTAGTCTGTTCGCTAGATCTGTCTGACGATGAATCGTTGCCTGCATCTGCCGGCTGCTGTAAGTTGGCTTGTGCTGCAAACAATCTCCTAGAAACCTGAAGAAGTATATTTCAGTTATTTTTTATAAAATAACTTGTGCATAGACACTGTGAATCTACTCACTGACTTTAGTAATATATATCAGGGATATTTCTTGCAAAATTAATCCATCTCTCATATCCACAAAATAACATCCTAGACGAAGCCGCCATACAAAAACATGTCATATCGATCAATTAACTAATTATTACGATAGTATTTAAAGGAAGTTCTATTTAAAGCATAAAATAGTGTATAAAATCGGGGAAAAAAGAACCTGCTGAACTATGGGCACGCCTGAAACAGATTTTGACAGCACTTCACGGAACATTTCTTTCAAAATCTCACTGTAATTTAGACATTATATGCATTATATTTACATCCAGCTCTACAGATCACTCACGTTAATATCCAGAAATATCATATTTTCAAACGAAAATTCATTTATATCCAGCCCTTCATCCCTACACATCATAACGAGATTCTGCGAACTTAACCTTATGATATCCACTCCAAGTACCTATTACATCTCTATAGTCCATAGAACCTAAAGAGCCTAGTAGAGTCCATGTTTGCACCAGCTTAAATAAATTCCAGTCAACACACTCCTAGGAGAATTTAGGAAGCCCGCGGTCTGTATCACTATGTGCGAAAAACTAGTCTCGCTACATCACCATAAGCATATTAATTCGGAGTTTTAGATGATTGAACTTCTTTTTCTGATTTAGTAGTGATTCCCATATTTGTTCTATCAATTATCAATCTTTGCTAACTCTTCAAAAATAATACTTTTGCAATAATTCTGTTGTGTCTATTAATAATATATAACGCATAATTTATTGTATTTCTAGTTTCTTCTCTGAACACATATCACACTAATTCATTATCATCAGTTGTTGTCTTTTGTCATAAAAGCTTTACATTTTTCAAAGTAAGAATAAATTATTGGTATGATATGGGATTATTATTAACAGTATTTTGACGTATTGTATAGGTTTACCGCCATACAGGTATTTCTGTAAGTGGGTGAATGCAAAAACTTACGTATAGATTTCATATATTGTACAATATAATAACTGTTCTGATGTATATCGATGTCATATAGGTTAATGTGGATAGTTTAAGAGCTACACATTTTGTTTAGAATGCACGTAGATATTCTTGAACATATAATTGGTATTCCTTTCATATCTTCTGGTACTATTCTGAATTACGGGTGTAGTTTCCAGGGAATTTGTAAGTTGCTGAGATGCAAGTAAATAGCGTTTTGATAAGATTCGCTTTTCATTGGTAATTGATGAGTATTGTAGGAAAATGCTCCAGTTATTAGGTCGAGCATTGGTGCGATGCTCAGTTGTACAACGAGCACAACTGCTACAGGTATGCTTTATTCCTTATAAATGAGTAAAATATTTAACAGGGAATACTAATTGATAAGTAACACTGGTACAGTAGTTAATCTTGTGCAGTGAATGACTTTGTTGTTATCTTGGTGAATTAAATATTAAGGTTCAATAATTAACTTAGTTATTCAGCTCGGTTCTATCGTTGATGCATTTATTTCAGAGATTGAAATAAAACTTTGGCGAAATTCAGCATTCTGTATTTGAAATCCTGTATTCTGTATTTGATCTTATTTGTTTATAGGACGAATGTGTTTCTAATAATTTTTTTTAGCACAGTGGCAGAAATTTGGCTACGGAAGGTCAGAAAACAATTGAAGAAATTGGTGATGATAGTACAAGTTTCCCCGCAGATCCGAAAGATTTTGGGGGATCGGAAACTGATGTAGACTCTACGGCACGTTATAATTTTGAGTAGGGTATTTGGTTTTTTTTGGGATGTCCTAAAATATTCATATGAATTAGAAAGAAGAACTTTAGGACTTTGACAAATCAAAACTTTCCTTTTGTCCGCATTACTTTCAAGATTTAACATTATTCTTGCGTACATTTTTTCATTTCTCTTAGTTATTCCTTTTCACTTTACGTTATTACAGTGAGAATCATATTGAAGTGACCGGTGTTGTTCGAGGACCACCGAGAGTGTATACGATGCCAACCGGTCGACAGTATGCTATTGTAAAGCTGTCAACAGCAAGTGGTATGATTTTGATTGCTCTTAAGAAATTAAACTGATTTTAAAAAAATTGAATTGATTTAAAAAAAAAAAGAAATATTTAAATCTAAGAAAATTGAATTTATGGATAAAATTATCAAATGTATGTAAAATTTTATTGAAGCTGACCGTCGAAATTCTGGACGATTTATTTCCTTTGTTGATGTTTTTGCCCCTAATAATATAGTGGATTATATCAAGGATCACGTACGTGAAGGTATATTGTTTCGATCATTTCTTAATCATCCTATTCTTTGTGCAGAGATTTTTGGAGCAAACTATTGGTGATTTAACTTCTTTACCAAAGTGTTCATCGTACTTCAGGAACGCAAGTGTACGTGAGCGGTCAGCTTCGGAGTAGGCTGCGGACGGATGAGGATGGACGGTCATTTCAGGATATACGAGTCCAGGCTAGTGGACTTTTTAAGATTGTTGATCCGAAGTATATCGCTGAAAGGAATACTACAGCTGAGAAAAACGTTAATGACGTGAACTCAGGAATGGAGCAAACTACTTCATAAAATGTTGCGAATACCTAAACATTTTTTTTGCGTTTTGTCAACATTATTGTTCACGAATTGTGTCCTTTGTGAACATTTCTTATTGTTTATTCTAGTTGTTTTTTTGTACGCAATTTATTTACTTCCAAAAACAGTAAAAGAAATCCGATAACACCTTATATTTCATCTTGACTAAAATTTATATCTATCTTTTGATGATCTTTAATGTGCACATTATTTTACGTGAATTACCTGATGAGATCACAGTCTTGTACTGCTGATTCTAATCTTCTATCTTTTTAAAGCATTCCTTTGCATTAAAGATTAAGTTGATTATATTAGTGGATTTATATCTTATTTAGTTTGCAATGAAAATCAACTTTTAATTTATCTGCATAAATAAGCGCGAACAATTGTTTCTTTTGGAGTATGCAAATTTTCATCCGCGCTTTTGCTGCAGCGTAGGTGAATTATTAATTTATATTGCTTAAATCAATGTTAAGCTAATGGAAATATGCTTGGATTTAGAAATTCTAGTTCAATCTTATAAGCCCTAAAACTCCATGAGGACTATATGTAATCTGATGATTGATGAAAGGAATATTCCTTCGATAATGTTTTTTAGAAGGATGATAGTTTTCAGAATGATTATAATAGGAGAAGTGATGAATTGAAGCAAAAAACTGTGTGGCAGCCAGTGATTATATCAAAAACTGCATGAGAACTATTCATTCAGCAATCGATTAAATATATTGGCAGAAGCATATCGGTTTCTCTACAGATTTTGACAGCATATTCAGTGTACCCTTGTATTCCAATCCGAGGATTTCAAGAAGTATGTACGAGTTAATATTCGATAGACTAAGAAAGGAAGTCTTAAACGTTATATTCGAAAACGAACCACCACATATAATGAACATAAAGAAAATTGAAAGTGCGATATGTAAATTTTACTATAATCAATTTTACTAAATATTTGATTGAAATTTGCTTCAGATGTCAATAATTCATTTGGATATTTTCCTGAGGTAATATTCCTGAAAGTTTTAATTTCCAAAAAAATTGATGAAAATGCAGTACATTTGCTTCATTCATTTAATCAACTCAAAATAGTTAAAGGAAATGTGCAAATAAATATTATTTAATGCGTTCTTTTTTTAAATATGCAGGTGATTGGACTTGAATTTCAAAATTGAAATTATTTATTGAAAAGTCTAATTATAATTCAATTTTTATTACTCAACAATTGGTTAATTATAAATCATTTAAAAAATTTCTCTCAAAAAATTCTACCAAATATTTCAATGATTCTATAAGAAACAGAGATATTGCGATGGAGGATATGAGTTATTTACCAAAGTTTAAAAAGGTATGAATTGTACGAAATCAGTGAGTTGTCATTTAAAAATCTAAAGATTAAAATAATTGAAGCGATCGGTAAAATTATTGATAAACTATCTTATAAAGGACTTTCTTAATCCAAACTTTTCAAAATCTTCTTAAACCATTTTAAAGTAAGACAAAAATGGCACTCAAATATTTTTGCTTGTCTGATTTTTATCATTGTTATAGTGTTATAGAAGAATAATGCTTATCAAATAATAGTAGATAATGATCGAATATCCACAAGGTAGTGCTCAAATACATCGATAATGATGATTAGATTTGAGGGGAAAGAAAAAGTTATACTTTAAGTAATACCGAATACACTTAAAAAATAGTGTGTTTATTGATTGAATAATTTTATTAAAATCTATAATGGAGTTAAAACAAATGTCTGTTTAAATATAATTTATCGATTAAATGTTTTAGCTTGTGAGATAACTTCATTTAAAAATATTTTAAATTAATTGAAGGTAAACAGTGAGAAATATGGGTGGCACTATAAAAATGACTAAAATATCATTTACATTCATTTAATATTATAATTAATCATAATTTTGAAAAAGACAAAATAAAATAACGAAAAAAAAAGTTTATTTAAATGTAATATCGAAATTTATAATACAATTATTTACAATTTGTTGGAATAATTAATTTATTTACAAACTTAATTAGGAAATTAATTTTAAGGTAAGTTAATACTTCCAAACATATTAAGATATGAGTAATCTGGTAATTCCTTCTTTATTCGCGCTGAATTGAGTGAATTCCTCGGTGAAAGTTTACTGTATCCTGCAAAAAAAATTCAGAAAAAAAATTTTTTTAATTAGAAGAAACAAAAAAGCGATTAAAACGATTAATTGAAAATTTTAAAAATCTAACAAAGAAATTTTAATTTCATTTTTTTGATTCACAAAATTTCATTTTTATTTATTTATAAATTAAAATGACTTATGATGTAAAAACAATATAAAAGAGAAAATAAGTGAGGTAAAATGTATTGTAATTTTACTAATAAATTAAATGCTAATTATTAAAGTAAATTAATTATTAGAAAGTTTGGAAATAATTTTGATAAAATAAAAAATTTAGAATATTGCTTTAAGTATGTTTTAAAATTTTGAAATTTTCAATCACTAAAAATAGAAATTATCAAAATTGCAAAATTTTGCATATAAAATATTACCTGCTTTCCTAGCATACGGTAATTGATCATCTCTTGTAACAATTGATTCTTTTCTTTGTCGTAAAGCTATATTGTATTGTTTTAAAGTAATTTTATTATCAACTTCCATTCTCTAAATTAATTAAATTTATGTTTAATTATTCAAATAAATTTTTCTGCAAACGATAATTGTAAAATAAAATTTCTAAAAGAAATTTAAAAATTAGAAATGAAAATTCTAAAAAGAAATTAAACCTAATAAAAAAAACGCCGCAAATGTTTTTGTAAAATTGTCGAGAACATTTTTCAGTACTGATTTATACAACGCTTGTTGATCTCTCAATACTGATTATATATATATATATATATTTTCAGTATTGATTATATATTGTTTTGATGATTTCTCAGTTTACGCAATTTGATGACGTTAATGAAAATGATCAACGATTTGTTATTTGCGTTAATATTACGTATTGTTTCATCTTATGATATCATTTTAACAATTAGAAAAAAATTAATTTTAGTCGTCACATTTTTCTGTTATTTCCTATTTTTCGACCAAATGATTTTTTTGTGATACAATTAACAGTTTTTTAAAAAATAACAATACGATTGATTTTCATAAATTTCTCAGCATTTTATGTGAAGTCAATATCGGAAGGTAAAATAGTAATGAAATGTTAATTGGTCAATGCTGATTGATCTCAATCAATTGCTGATTAGTAGTTGGTATCAAGTTAATCATTATAGATTGGTTGATATCGGAAGGTAAAATAGTAATGAAATATTCATTGGTCAACGCTGATCGATTTCAATCAATTGCTGATTAGTAATTGGTATCAAGTTAATAAGTATAGATTGGTTGATATCGAAAGGTAAAATAGTAATTAAATGTTAATTGGTCAATGCTGATCGGTCTCAATCAATTGCTGATTAGTAGTTGATATCAAGTTAGTATGTATAGATTGGTTGATTGCTTTAAATCGTTCTCAAGTTAATCAGTATAGATTAGTTGATTGCTTTATTATCAGTTAGTCGAACGTTAATCAGTCATTTAGCTGTCTGCTTTAGCCGATATTACCGCATTATCGTAGAACAAAGAGAAAACAAATCAAAATAATAGATACCGCGCATATGATAATTGAAATTTTCATTCATGTTAATCAGCAAACTGATAATTCCCTAAATTTTACTTTTTATTTAATCAATTTAAAGTTTCGTAGTTTGCTAAGGTTTTTAATAAAGTGAAATAACAAAATCACATGGCTTATAATGAATTGATTTGAATATAATCCAACCAGCTAATATTTTTTAGCTTACTAATAATATTATTAGCTAATCTAGTTAGAACCAGAGAACTTAAACAGATAGCAGAGATTTTTTTGCTCCAGTTAGAATTAAATTTTATTCAAATTACATAACAGTATAATATTTTAAAATTCCATTTGATAATTGTTTAATCAAATATTGAAAAACATATCAAAATCAATTATATATAAAAGAGTATTATACAATTCCTTATATATGCTTTAAACTTTCAGATATTTATAAATGTTCATATTTTTATAATTCACTATCAAAAGGAGATGTCGAAATTTTGAGCATGAATGAACTCTTGACCTTCGAATCAGAGTAGCGGAGGATCACTATTACTTAACCTTGCGTAACCTGTTATCTTCTTAACTTCAAAACGAAAAAAAAGCCAATCAACCTCTACATATCAATATCATTAGATGATTAATTTGAAAAAAAACAAATGTTACAAACTGAATAATCTGGAGCCAAATATTTCATATTGATATTGAATAAATGCTCATAAAAATTGAAAATACACCTTAAGTTCATAATACACCTTGTTGCTTGTATTTATTGTTGCCTTCAATAGGAAGTAAACAGAATGCTTTAACTATTTTAAACATATGATTACAGCAACTGAATCTTTAAGAATTAACTGTGTAAATTAAAAAAAAACAAATGAATTGCAATCACTAAGTGTAATGATAACAACAAATAAATAAATAACTCATTATTTTGACAGTCTAATTACATGTTACTTTATAGACATATAATTATTTTGTTTTTAAATATGCTAATAGAATTTGACAATAAATTTTTATCAAATTTGCACTTAAATTTGTAATTATTTGCGTGCACTATCATAATTGGCGATAAACCAATCAACAGATTCTTTGATTGCTATTTCAAATGGTGTAAACTTGAAATTTGGTAAATATTTGCGTAATTTGGCATTCGATGCAGTCTTCTTGTATTGTCCATCAGCTTTTGTTTTGTCTTGTACGATTTCACCCTGAAATAATTTTAGATAAATTTGTCCATCATTCACTGGAAATAAATGTCAGTTGAAATTTTATTAAGAATACATTTCAATCAATAAAGTTTTTTGATTTTCGCCGATCATGATATTAAACAGATTAATTTCAAATGGTACTTTGAAATCGAAAGCTTTGACAATAGAGTGAACAGCATCCATAATTGATACTTCATCTTCCTCTCCTACTGATAATATAATTGGATCAATTTCCTGAAATTCGCTACAACAATGTAAACTAAATTTCAAAGATAGAATACGACTCGTTCTGAATAAGATGAACCTCGTAAGATCGTACGACCCAAACGAAGAGTCGAGCCAAATCTAGCGAGTAAATAAATTGACGCAGAGGTGTTCCACTCCCAAAGACCTGAAGAAGAAATGAATGTAGTTGTCGAAAAGATTGCAGTTAACATAATAATAAAATGGGTTTTTTCAGGTATTATTTTAATATTTTTGTAAAAAAATATTTATGAAAATCATATGTTATTATAGCCCCTTTCCTGCTTCTTTCATCAATTCGAATGAGAAAATTTGTTTGAAAGAAATAACGTTAACAAAAAAAAGAAAACGAAATATCGAGTTATTTAAACTACATTAATATCACAGGTAGTATTATGCATCAAATGCAACCTCTAAGGGAATTCCTTCATGTTTCGCAATGTAAGTTTTATGAATTAAGGCCGGAATGACGTGTCCATCTTTCAAATTGTAGTTATCATGTGGTCCAAACACATTACATGGTATTACAGATGTATATTTCCTATAAATTTGGAAGAAAAATTGAAAAAAATAACAAACATTGCTACAATGTCACAAATGGTATAATAAATTTGGTAGTTTTATGTCTAAATTAGCATCAAATAATATAAATGAGAACCACTATGGGATAAATACGCATTGTAGATTTGAATTCGATATTATTCTTAATAAACAAATTAGACAGAAATTGTTCAATATCAGATGAATTCATAATAGAGCAGTGAAAATCTTTAATATCCAACTTACCGACCGAATTCCTGAGCATATCCTCTATTAAGCACATCAATCATCCTTTTCGCATATGAATAACCAAAATTGCTGTCATGAGGAGGACCGTTATGAACCTGTAAGCAGTTATCATTAATACAATTCTCAAACCGGTTAAACGAAAATATGAAAACAAAAGTTTGTCGTGAAAATCGATCTTCACATTATATATCACAATAAGAAAGCATAGATAAGCAACAATTGAATAATAATGAAGAATGGCGAATGTAAAATTTAAATGATATCACTGTAAAATAAATGGAGCAATTTGAAGGTTAACAATATTACTCTTGCTGAATAGACTAATAATATCATCCCACTTCTGGTAACTCAGATGTACTACATAATAGAATACTCATAATAGAATAGTTGCAGTTAAAATAGACGTTAGGTGTGATGTGAAAATTTCACGCTTACCATAGTCTCATCAATTGGATATGCAGTTTTGTCCGGAAAGACACACGTTGAAAGACATGATATACACTTTACAACATCGAATTCATTGCATGCCATCAGTACATTATCATTGATTTGCTGAAATAAAATCTCTTTGAATATACTATTTCTGCCTTAAAATGTATTAAGGTAATATAATTAAAATCTCCAATAATTCCAAAATCAATCTAAGAAGAGGTTATAGTTTTTAAAATCAATATCGATCAACATCAATATCGATCAACATTATCTTATTTGATCAAAAAAAAATATTTCAAATACATAATTAGGGTAACAGAAACTTTCATACCAATTTACTGATGCTATACACTGGTGTATTGCTAACGTGATTAAAAAGCGGTAGGGTAAGTGACGAGTTCGAATCCTATATCAGCAGGCAGTGATGAAAGCACTAGAGTCTCAGATTTATCATGATCCGAAAAAGTGCTCGTCTGCTGAGTCTGCAGTAAAATTATGTCGCTTTTGCTAACATGAGTAAATTCAATATTTTTCATACTACCATGTGGAAAGTTTCACACTACCATGTTTTTCCTGAAGAATTGCAAATTGCAATGAAGATTGTGGAAAAGACCTCCAACCATAGCAGCTAAATGAACTACATGAGAAGGTCTATGCTTCTTGAATAGTTTTTTTGTAGCTTCGGAATCCGTTAAATCGCAATCTTTTCGGCCAATAAAAATCCATTTTTCATTTGGACGTGCTTCTTCAGTTGTTATTACCTGTATCATAATAGGATAAACTGATAATGGAATCAATTGTTAATTTCAACTTATCTTATTACTGAAAATGAAATTTGTTCATAGAGCTATTCGATTTCAATGTTTGAGAAAGTTTGAGAAAGTTAACCGAATAATGTAGTAGAATGATGATACTTGATAATATAGAAAATGATATTAACACAAGTAGTATTAGTTCATCAAATAACTTCATTTTCTACATCAGGAGAATAACTTTTTAGTGACTTTTTACATCTAATTTCATTTTTCTTTGTGTTTAATTTACATGTTTAATAATTTGATATTATCTATGCGTGAACAACATGAATCCGAAGAAAGGACGATTCCCCTAATATGCCATATTAGCAATTCAGATTATAAATAATTTATGAATTTGAGGAAGAAACAAAAGCACCACCTTTTCAATGGATCGTCCTACAAGGCCTGTACCACCAGTCACTAATACTGTCATCGATTGTACTTCATCCATTATTTGACGCTTTTTTCCGAATTAGCCCGTTAATTAACGAAATCCAACCTGAAGGATGTCAAGCGAAAGCACAGTATCCATTTGTGGTATTCGTTTCCTATATATGCTGAAGTCTTTAAGGGATCTTTAAATTCTGGAAGTAAGATTAACGAGACGAGGACGAGCTAACTTGACTGCTTTAGTTATGACTAGTGTAAAAATGTAGAAACCACCATAATGTAACTTTATTTCTAATAACGATACATATGACAATAGCCTATTTCACAGTCATTTTATGAAGTAAAAAATAAAACTATCTCACATACATATCTCCTTATCATGAAGATAAATTCACATTTAATTCAATTTTTAAACCGTCACTCCAATTTGCCAATCTGCATTGAAATAAGAATCGATCTCAATTAAAGCATAAAAATCTATTTCCCTTCATGCTGCTTAAGTTGTCAAAATTTGAATTCTCGTTATTTATTATAGTAAAAATAATTCATCATTGGTCTCACAGCAATGTTTTAATTTGAATTCTAATACCACACTAAAATGAAAGCTGTAAAAATAAAAAAAGATGAAATGTAAGTACATTAATAATGAATATAAATCATCGATGATAATCAAATACAGTTTGAACACATTTATGGACATGTTTCTTTAGCAATTATGCAAGTGATAAAACATGTTGGGCGCAAGTCACTTTTGAAAAACTACTGCAAAGGAGAAAACGCTGTACTGAAGAGTAAACAAGTTTACTGCAAAAGTGAGCAAGAACGCCATAACAGTAACAGAAAAATATCCAAAAAATGGGAATATTTTCTTGTATTAATCCCTTCTAAAAACCATCCGGCCGTTTCATTGCGTATTTTTTTGTGTACTCTTCTGCTGTCTTATTGAATTTTTTCCTATCTTTCGTAAATTCTTCTGCAAGATCTGCTCGTAATGGATGGTCTGGTTCTGGTTCCGTAATTAAACCAAGCAATGCATTCATCACTGAAAATCATATCATTGCAAAACAAAAGAAGTAAGCAGCGCAATGCTAGTTTAAGTTTTATATACTGTTTCCTGCACTCCTAACTAAATGCATCACGGTACAAAAATTGTCATTCTCTGAAACTTTAATTCAACATAACCACCAATACTACTTGGAAACTGGTTTCGAAAATTGCGCAAAGCATGAATAAGCTAAATTTTATCATCTTTACAAACTTTAAGACATGTTACCATCGAACTGTGGACCCTAGATAGCATCTGTGAACGGAACGAAATCAGCAGTTCTGCATCCATCAAGACTTTTAGTTACTATCACGAAAATGTCAGGCTCAAAATGCTGAGTAAAAACTTCCCATTCAAAACAAAACCTCAAAGCAAAAATTGACCTTGTTCAGTTTTGGTAGCAGGTTTCCAGTTGTCAGGTGATATGATCGGAAGACACACTTGTCCCTTCTCGTCAACATTTGGGTGATAAATCTTCGTCAAAAATGTAATCTTGGGCGGTTTAAACGGATATTCTACAGGAAAATCTATGGCTACTTTAAATGCTCCTTTGCTGTACGGCTCTTTGTCCTGCAAATATTACAAGTTATATAAAAATATTACAAATAAAAAAATGCAAATAAAAAAATGCCCTATATCCCGTTCATATCTAGTAAATTTGCCCTTGATCTTCACCAATCTTGCTCCAATAAAAAAAAAAAACAAGATATTTAGAAAAGGATTTCCAGTAGTTAAAACTCCCCAATAGTTAAATCATAAAATCAGCAATATCACTCCTGCGAGCGATTTACCTATCTGATAATATGCCTACCGGGACAAGAAGACCTGTCCAGTGAAGCAAATTACTTTCATCAAATTCAACACAGCAGAACGTTCTCGAATCAGATGACTGAATATCCATCAGTTCCTATAAAAGGCATTAATATGTTCAAACAATAACGGTTAAAAATCAACAAGAATACCCAACTTCAACATTAGGCAGTCATCAATAATATTAAAATGGTTAAACAATTCTTCTCTTTTTTGTCACGCCCGTTGCTGATGAAATAAAAACAGCTGCCAACAAATGGGTCACATTTCAAAACATGATAACAGCGACTACGCAAACCCAACCTGTAACGGCTCATCAAAAAAGCAATTAACATTGTGAAGTTCATTCACGGCATGTTAACGTTTGAATCAATTGCGTTCTTATTACAAAAATGAACTAAAAATCTCTCTAGATTCAAAAAAAGCCAACAAACTTTTTTCAGTCGACGTGAAGAAGAGGCCATTCTTCAGTGAAATTGGTATAAACCTTAAACACATCGATTACAAAGTGAAAAAATGACAGCAAATAAATCCAGTCAAGCGCTATTTTTGAAAAGATCAGATTGTTGTCCATTCCTGTTCGATGAAAGCTGTGGCACAGAAATATTTCACATAATTATTAAAAGTTTAATTTATGTCACTCTCACTAAGACGAATGGATAGAGAGTTAAAGAGCTTCAATAACTCAGTCATTGCACACATTTCTTACCTAATCTTGTTTTTCAAAAGTTTTTAAGAATGTGAAAAAGAACAAATCTATAATACCGAAACATCACTAGCGTAATAAGCAGTAACTGTAATGCATCGCAAAATCCAGATTAATGCAAACTGCAATGTTCCAGAATGCTTAACAGCAATTACACAAATAAGTATAAATTCTATAAGAAAGTAATGCCCACGTAATTTCTCGTTACTTTAACATATTAAAAAGTAAAATTTAAATAACATGCAATAGTATAACAGAAAGAAAATAGCTCAACTACTTGCCAACTTGACAACTTACCAAAATGATTGATTCACCTTGCCACATCACGAGAATATCATGTAAAAACCCTCTCACCCTGTGACTCAAATAAATTTTGTTTGCTCATCACGACGGCCCTTCTTGGAGGGATAGTATGAAAACTTCAATACCGGAAAATGGTGTGAAACCGAGTTTGTTGCAAAACGGGAAGGGCGGAAAAGGACAAATTATAAATCCACTCAATTTTATGAATTATTTTTTTGAGTGAATTAGGGTGGGTGAAAGGTGAAAGAAATTTAATTGGTAATGCCGAAATGGGAGAGAATATGGTTGCGGAAAGCATTAGCTGGTTAAACATTAGTCAAAAATGGAATTCTTCATCATTGCCGTTTATTTATAGTATGTGACGTATTTGTATAATGAATGCAGTTAACCTTTGACATATGGGAAAGCTTGTAAGACAAGAATTGTTTGGAGTAATGTATGTAGTGGTTTAGATGTGTACCTAAAATTAACAAAAATCTTTTCTACTTGTGAATAAAACTAACTGGAAGTTAGCTTGAGAAGATTGCAGTCATGACTTTTATAGCACTTCATCATTTTCTTGAATAAAGAATAGAGATCCTTTTATCATTCCAAAAGGAAACTCCTGTAGGAATGGATGGAATGAAAACAGGTGAATAATGTAGTGGAATCTAAAGATTAACTGATAGATGTGGTTACGGATTGCGAATATTACTGACTGTTAATAAACTGTTAAAATCAGAATAATGATTAAGGTAATAAAAGATTGTAAGGTATGAAGAGACCGCAGAAATAAATGAGAAATCGGTTAAAATATTACTGAGATAAATTAATTCAATTGACTGTTATCATTATGTAATATGAATTGAAATTATTCAGTTAGGAAAAATCAATTACCTAATTAGGAGGTATTTTGTAAACCTTAACTGTTTTCAAAAATATTTTCTATACTTTATTTTCATTCTATTGCTGGCATCTAAAATACTTCTTAAACTTCATTTCTTTATTTCGAAGTATTACAAATTTAAATATTCTAATATACTTTTTAATTTAATTATGCTTTGAAACGTTAGATATTGTTATAGTTACCACACTGTTTGAATGTAATTTGACTTTTAGAACGATATAATAAGTAGTATTTTTTCTTTCAGAAAGTATATTGTCCTGTTTTCTACAGCAAGCAGATTAATGGATAGTAGTGTTATAGTTCCGAAAATTACTGATTCGGAAGGAGGACATGTACAAAATGAATTCTATCGCTTCATCAATGAGTAAAAAATATTTTTTTCATACTAATTAGTTACATCCATTCTATAAAATCAGTTCTTCAGATAAGTAGAATTTTTCGGTTTGAAGTATTTTAAAAACGTTAATCGCATCTGATAAAGATTGTTTAATTAAATCCAAATTTCATCTCACATATGTTTTGCGGAACGTCGAATGAAAGTTCATTGTTAGATTCGAAAATGCGAATGGAACCCTCATCTATAAGGAGGAAATTCCACATCTGTACCATCCAGAACGCAACACGCTATTTGTCCAATTCGACGATCTTTTCTCTTTCAGCAATATGCTTGCATCAGCACTTGAATTGCAGTTTTACAGGTAAAATTTATAATTTTAATTTCTTTTTGCATCTTTGAACAATCGTGAAATTAGTTTGAAATAACTTGAAACTTTAAAGTTTTTCTAACAAGAAGTGTTTTGCAGACTATATCCCTATCTATGTAGAGCTTTGCATCTGACTGTTATGGATGGTTGTAACGATGATAATATAAGGCAACGAATGCAAAGGAAAGAATTTTATGTCAGTATCGGACAAATTAGGAACAAACTCAGGTGTCGTCTGTCTTGTTCTTTTTTGATCAAGCCTGTACAGCTGTTCTTTTTTCTTTCTAGAGGAGAAGTTTATAGAAAAATATCATCCTGTTCATTAATTATTCAAAAATTTGCATTCAAGTTATCTAATATTTGTCTTTAATCTAGAGTTCGTGAATTGACAGCTAGTAAAATTGGTGCTTTAACGTGTATTTCGGGACAAGTGGTGCGGACGCATCCAGTACATCCTGAACTTCATAAAGGCGTTTTTATTTGCGATGACTGTGGAACGAAAGTTAAAAATGTTGAGCAACAATTTCGCTACACACCGGTATTATTTTTAATCAAAATTTATGGTTTGCTGTTGGTTCATCGAATTGTTAACTTTATTAATTTTTATAATGGTCTTATCTAACTAGGCAGATTTGCAGCCAGCACAATGCGCAAATCAGCAATGCAGTAATCGTGGCCGTTTCCAGTTGGATATCTACGAATCATCATTTATCGATTTTCAGGTATTTCTAAATATCTGAAATCTTTAGCATTTCGTGATAATCAGTGGCTTTGAATAGTAGGTGCTTTTTTTAGAAAATACGTATGCAAGAAACCCAGACGGAACTGCCACGAGGTTGTATCCCATTAAGTTTGGATGTAATCTTACGCGGTGAACTCGTTGAAACCATACAACCCGGCGATCGATGTGATTTCGTCGGTGCACTGATTGTTATTCCAGATGTAGCTCAGCTGAGTGCGCCAGGTATCAAATTTACAGTGTTAAAATTTTAAACTTAGATTATACGAAAAATCTTTAAATAATTTCATTTTAAGGTCTTCGAGCAGAAGCTTCCAGCCGTAATCGACGTCGTGGTATAAGAAAAGAGGAAGGGGGTATTACTGGCCTGAAGGCTTTGGGCGTGCGAGATATGAACTATAAATTGGCATTTCTAGCATGTAACGTTACGGCCTCAATTCCTTCGGTTAATCATATGCTTTATATTTCTCATTTAATGATCTACAAGTGAAATGTTTCTCGAATGAAAGTGAGTGCTGACCACTAAAAAAAAAAGGGTAATTGAACTTAAGTGAAAACTTGAGACTGACTCGTCGTGAATCTTTTCTTTCGGCAGTAATAAGTGAGTTGAGAATTTTGATGATTAAAATTTATTCATACATAGGGAAAAGTGGATGACATAAGAAATAAATTTATGTACTATTTTTCTTCCAGTTTGGTAGTCGAGTTCTTGCACATGAAGATTTGGACCATAATGAGTTGTGGTCGCAATTATCTGAAAATGAAAAGAAGGTGATGCGTAAAATGAGTGAAGATAAATCAATCGCCCAAAATCTTATTCACAGCTTATTTCCAGACATTTATGGGAATGACGAGGTTATTTATCGCTTATTGTTTTACTAACTCATTTAGCACTCGTTTGATTTTCCACTTCCTCAAAATATTATTTGCAGAGAAGTTAGCCGTAAATTTGTTTGGAATAAAACTTCCATGAGTCGGGTTTGAAGAAAGCTAAAAATGTTTAGAACATAAGGTTTATTTACAGGTGAAGCTTGGCGTACTTTTGATGCTTTTTGGTGGTGTTCAGAAACGAAGTGAAGGAGAAGGGACTACTTTGCGTGGCAATATAAATGTTTGCTTGATTGGTGATCCAAGCACAGCGAAAAGTCAAATTTTGAAGTTAGTTGCCATTATTTAAATTAAACATTTATTGTTAAATACTTTTTGTGATCTATTACTAGTTATCGTTGTTTCAGGACAGTGGAGCATTTTTCACCGAGAGCAATTTATACTTCCGGCAAAGCATCGTCAGCAGCTGGTTTAACAGCAGCAGTTGTAAAAGACGAAGAGTCATTTGAATTTGTTATTGAAGCCGGAGCTTTGATGCTCGCGGACAATGTTTGTTTTAAAATATCTTTTAATTTGAATAAGTTGTTGTTTTAGACGAAAAGAAAAAGATTCAAAATTATAGAGCTAAATTTTATTTAATAACTTTTAATAGAATTTAAAAAATTTCAGTAGTTTGTAGGAAATAACTGTTTTAGGGTGTTTGTTGCATTGATGAATTTGACAAGATGGATTTAAAAGATCAAGTTGCAATCCACGAGGCCATGGAACAACAAACCATATCGATAACGAAGGGTGAAATTTTCAATTCTTGTCTCCTCGCAGTTATTTACCGTAGCCATTTCCTATTCTGTTACATATATTCCTGTCAAGATACAACGTAAAATGATTTTATTTAGCCGGTGTAAAAGCAACGTTGAATGCTCGTGCTTCAATTCTAGCATCAGCGAATCCGGTTGGTGGCCGTTACGATCGGTCACGGCCATTAAAGAACAACATACAACTGTCTGCACCTATCATGTCCAGATTCGATCTTTTCTTTGTTCTAGTTGATGAATGCAATGAGGTAACATGATATGCTTATAGTTGGTCTGAATTTTCTAATAGTTTTAAAATAACAAAATGAATATTTTTCAGTTTATTCTTGGTTTTTGATAGTGCAGCAATTTCAGTCGCTTATTTCAAAGCACATTTTATTGATCAAATCAGTGCATTTATTTAAAAAAAATGATTGGTTTTTTCGTATTTCGTAACTTCCTGATTTATTAATTGGTATATGTAGTTTACTGTGTTATTTGTCAGATCGTGGATTACGCCATAGCTCGCCGCATACTGGACACTCATCGTCAGCTAGCAACCCAAGAAAAACTAAAAACTGCATACAATCTAGACGATATCCATCGTTATATTACTTTTGCTCGATGTTTTAAGCCGAGGGTATGAATATTTCAAGAAAAAAGAATATAGTAATTGAAATGAATACAAATTCCAAATTCTGGATGTGGAATTCAAAAATTCTTCAAATTCCTTAAAGACCAATCATAAGTGCATCTGTAAAAAATGTACATCAAATTTCTAGATTGGCGATGCAGCTGCGTTGCTTTTGGTTTCTGAATACAAACGTTTACGTATGAGTGACAGTAATAATGCGGCTACATCATCTTGGCGAATAACTGTGCGACAATTAGAATCGTTAATACGACTTTCCGAAGCACTTGCTCGACTTCATTGTGAGGGCGAAGTGAATTTTATGTTATTATTTCTTGGCTCTTAAAGTTTTTATTCGGATATTTTATTTATTAATCAAGTTTCATCACGAAAGCACGCCCATTCCTTTGTATATTCAAGACTATGAATTTGCTTTTCACAGAGTTGTTTAGTATTAATTTTACTGTAACGGACTGAACTTATTAGGTCAAAGCAGAACATGTTCATGAAGCTTCAAAGCTACTGAGCAAATCGATAGTACGCATCGAACAACCTGATATTGTTTTGCAAGAAGATGATGCACTTTTGGAAGCTGAAGTATGCATATTTATTTCTCTTGTTATCAAGTTTTTTTACTGTAACGAATGGGTATTAAATTGAAGTATTCAAAATTTTTTTTGAATAATAATTATTTAGATGATAGACGAAGCGGAACTAAGTGATCAAGGAGAAAGTGCTCTTCGTGAACGAAATGGAGAAGCGGAAGGAAGTGCAGTTAGAACTGAAGATGACGGGACGAGAAAAGTTGATTCTGGGAAATTGAAAATCAAGAAAGTTTCCTTGATTTATGACAAACCAGCGGTTTATATACATTGTATTTATATTTATATTTATGTTCTTATTTATTTTCATGTAACATTACTTTTTACTACAATGAAACTAAACTTTGCAGATTCGAACTTTATAAGCGGATAGCCGATATGCTAGTACTGCATATCAGACATGATGAAGAAACAGAAGAAAACACTGAGAATTGGGAAGGTGTTCGGCAATCACAACTTGTTCAATGGTTACTCTTTTGCAAATTAATTTTTCCTTAAAGCAAAATATTTAATTTGGAACCTTAGTTGATGTTTTTGTAATTTACTATTCTTTATGCTGATCCTTATATATTTTAATATTGATCCTTAGGTATTTGGATATGATGGAAGAAAGCATTGATTCGGAAGAAGAGTACAATCTTCAGAAAACTATTTGTGAGCGTGTTATCAGGCGCCTTATCACGGAAGACAATATTCTGATTCAGCTTAACGCAGAAACAGATGAAGATCCTGTTGTTGTTGTCCATCCTAATTATGTCATAAGTGATGAATAAGAATTTGTTTTATCCATATTCATTAAGAGCTTTTAATTATGAATCAAGTTGCCGTAAACCTAGAAAATTCCCCTCTATGGTTGAAAAGCCAGAGGAAAATGCCTTTATTTTATTCGCTTATTATATAAAAGATTTGTAAAGATCTTGTAACTTTTTATAGAAATATTCTTTTTTAATGTGCACTATACTTACCCATACCTGAACTTTTTTTTGTGGAATAACTGCCATGTAAATTGTAAGATCTCTCATTACTCTGTTATTTTGAACACTCTATTACACTTCTATTCCGTGAATTTGATACATTTTGATGAGCACTTTTAACCTTCATTTCACTTACATAAGATATATGCTTTGATTCCAATCCTATTGGGTAATATATTTTGCTATTTTCATTGATTATTTTAGAATAAATATTTAATATTGTTGGATGATGATGTCAAAAATAATTTGTAACCAAAATATTTCCTTACGTTTATTCATTTATATGCAGAAAATATATCAACTATTCAGATTCTTCAAATTTAACATCAATAACAACTGCTTCTGAATCAGTATTTTCCGATATAGAACTGCGACGAGAGCCTAAAAAAGTTATTTTCGTCGAATTTTTTAAGGTACAAATAAAATTTTTGTCTGTAATATCCAATTTAAAACATACTTTCGCCTTCAGAATGATATCCACGTGTCCTAAATTTTCTTCGTTGTTTTTTCCTCGTCACACGAACATTATTTGCTAATGATTTCACTAACTCCTCGAGATTATCCAATTTTGAGTTTTGCACATTGTTATATGTGCCATAAAGATGATCTGTAAATACTCATTACTTTATTCGTACAGAAATTTTCACTTCATAAAAATGTAGTAACAGTTATTCAATATGTTAATGAAGATTGCATATTGCATACAATTATTCTTATTAAGTCATACTACGAAAGCATTATCGAATTTCCTATTTTATAAGATTTTATTTCAATGACGAATTTAAAATTTGGCATTCAATATAATAGTCGTAAGTTATGAGAAGTTTTGAAAAAACCTCTAAAAAGATGTTTGATAAATTCTAAAGTGAAAATTTGTTCATCATGCGTTCTTTGAACAAATAATTGTTGCAGATTGTCATCGGCTTCACAGTAATTCGATAATGTTACATCTTTACATTGATCATAGATATCCTCTAATTTCTCCACAAATGATTGAATTTCATTTGTTTTCACTTGTTGCTTCATCATATCCAACAAATGAAGCTGTACTTTTAATGGTAATTCTTCAAATAAATAATAAAATGTTATTTAAATGTTAAAAATTTGAATATGAAAAAAAACGAATTTTCATTAATCATCAATTTTAGGATCAATTTTTATTTCAAATTGAAATAGTAATTTGATGTAAAAATTAAATTAAAAATAGATTTAGCTAAAATAACTTCACAGAAAAGAATAGAAATGCTAGATGATCAATCTTTGTTTTCCAATTTTAAAGTGGAAAATTATAAAGGATTTCAAAAAGTCGATAATGACCTTTGAATTGATCAATTTCTTTTTGATCATTCTCATTAATTGCCAAATTTTCAAGCAGTTCATCATTCATATCAACAATCAACTTCCTTGTATTTTCCGCTCGACTGCAACGAATTTTGGAAGAGCGATTACCAAACAATCGTACGCTAACAGATTGTAATAATTCTGAGCATTCTTCCACCGAATATCCATTAATAAGCTAAATTAAATCTGAATTAGTTTTGAATTTTAACAAAATCAAAATTTCTCTTCTAATATTACATCCAATTTGAAGGAGTATCTTTCCATTAACAAAAACACTTTGAATTTTGCAAGAGAAAGGTGCCAGTTTTTTAGGTGTCTTTTTTAAAAATAATTTCAATGTTTTCCAGTTTTTCAGAAAATGAAATGAGAAAGAAGACGGCATCTGAATCAAATTGGAAATGTTTGATAGAATTAATCAAATCAGAAATATTTGATAGATTTGATCAAATCAGAAATGTTTAATAGAATTAATCAAATACAAATACTCAAATTAATCAAATAGAATTAATCAAATCAGTATTTTTTAAAAAGCAAAAAAATTTTCTATTTAATGATTTTCCCTTTTACAAAATACCTTTTCAATAAATGGTATTAGTGATTCAATGGATTGTTGTTTGATATCCAATAAACAACGAGCATTAGCAATTCGAAAATTGATAATTGTATCATCTGTTTCATTATTTAATAAAATAATGATATCATTACTGGAGAAGGAATCGATAACATTATCAATATCAATAGGCATTCTTGTAAAATCGATAATTACTAATGATGATACCTAAATGATGTAAAATTCAAGTGATAATTCTCGAAAAGTAAACGTCATTTTTAGGTTAAGTGAAATGTTTGAATGTTTTTATTCAGGATGAATTTGTAAGAAATTAATTTATCAAACGTTAAAAATGAATTTATTTGCGGAAGAGAATATATTCAACAAAATGTTATCTTTTAATCATTTCCTATTTAAAAATGTTCTAATGATAAGTAATTGTGATAAATTGATTTGTTAAGATAATTTAATCTATTGAATGATTAATTGATTATTTTTTTTATCAAATATAAATTTGATTTTGTAATTTCAGAATCTGAATGAGAAGGTGAGAGAAAGAAAGAAAGAACCTGTATTTTGTGAATAAAATCAGTTCTATCATTTGGACGGATATATTCCCATGAAATATTTGCAGAATCGTTTCCCGCATAAAATATCCCAATTTCAGGCTCCTCATGATTTTTCGTATATTTCGGTTCATTAAGTGCAATCAAATGTGTCTTCTTGATGTCAACAGTATGCTTTACATTTATCAGAAATTCCGATTCAGATACTAACTTTTCGAATTCGTCATTAGTCAACAACGAAATGGTACCAACAGTATGCAACATTTGATTTAGAAATTGCGCAAAAAATATTGGCATTTTACTTGCAGCAATATTGTCAAGGGAATAATACAATTTGCCAATTTTACCTGAATTTTTTTCCCTCATTATTTTAATTTTAAATCCAAAAAAGAATTCCATTAAAAAATTAAGTTATGAATTTAAATCTCAAATTTTGTTCATATAACTATGTAATATTCTTTTTTATTATTAATATGATAGTATACTAATTCACTGCTCAATTAGTCGTTAATTATTGATAATAATGAAACTTGATAATGATTAACTGATTCATATATGGTCGAATTAACAATTATTTATTATTAATTGTTAAAAATTTGATTATATAAATACTGTTTAGATATTTGTGATAATTATAATATCGCACATCAAATAGATCACTGATTACATTTTACGTAATATTCTAATTGCATAGTATAGCAAAATAACTGATCTTAAAGTGATTAACAAAAAGTTATTTGATTAACAAATAATTTTTGCTTTTAAAATAAAATTTCTTCATTTCTTTAATACCAAAAAAATAAAGGAAAAAATAAATTATTTAATAACTAACCAACTTTAAAATACCATATCAGATTATAATAATCCAAATGTAAGCAATACAGTAAGCTTTCATTCAAATTTTCAATACATTCTCGTGTAGTTTGTATAGTCGGAATATTGTATTTGATGAATGGCTTCCTATTTTGATAATCTCGCCAAAATTTAATTTCAGCAACCGTAACAGTTTCTATAATATCCGCATGTAGCATATATTTGCATAAAATTAAAATGATATGAAGAAAATCCAAAATTATCCTCTGCCGATTATAAATGCGTATCAATGATAATTCTTCGCTTTCTTCTACTGTATCTTTCGTGAAATAATCATTTAAATAATCTTCCACAAATTTAGCACACTCCTGCAATAGACATACTTTCCGGAATCCTTTAACATATAAAAATTTTGATGCAAATATATATAAATATATCTGCTGATTTCTTGTGGAATAAGATGGACTAACTGTAGTGCACTAACTGTAGGAATGTTACAGTATGGCTAATTTAAATAGCATCAGATATGCTACAATATAGCACGTGTGGATAATAACAGGATATGTGACAGTATAACAGTTATAGGCACTCATAATTACCTAACAACGAACTTTTTTCATCAGAAAAATTAATTAAATGAGAATAAATTATGGTTGATTATATTTTCACACTATTTCTTTGCTATCTGCTAATGTCTATAATTGTCATACTGTCACATATCCTACTGTTATCTACACGTACTACGCTGTAGCATATCTGATACTGCTCACAATTGTCATACTGTAAAATTCATGTTACTGTTCACCCTTATCGTACTATTATAAATTCTACTATTGTCCGCATTTGTTATAATATTTTTAAGGAATGTGAATAAAATTTGCCTCTGTGATCAATATGCATGTTAGGCACTTTATGAAATTTATTGGAAACTTTCTCGACAAAGATTATTAATAAGTATTTTTGATTATATTTATAAATTAGAATTAAACTGAAATAATAATCAAATTTTTTCTCTCAAATATTTTACCTCAAATTTTTGTTCATTCCAATAAAATAATGCCATATCAGCGGTATATTCAACATTATTTTTATAAGTATTTTTATGCAAAACGAAGAAATGTTTCGCAGTGATAAAATCACCCCTTGTCATCATCCAATGTATTGCTGATATTTTTGATAATTTTTCATTATTTAATAAATCATATAAACATGATTCATCCAAAATTCGATGAATTATCAATGAATCAGCTGGAAAAAAATTAGCAATATATCTTTCACCTTTTCTTTTCTTAGATAAAATTAATTTTTTAATGATATGCTATAAAGCATTTTTTCCATTATCCGTTATTCAATAATTTTGAAAAACAACATCAAATAGATTTAGTTGTGAAAAATATCATTAAATAAATTTTAAAATAGGTTTAGGATTTTGAAAAGATGGATTTAGAATTTTAAAGAAGAGAGATTTAGAATCTGAAAAAGATGGAATTAGAATTTTAAAGAAGAGAGATTTAGAATCTGAAAAAGATGGAATTAGAATTTTAAAGAAGAGAGATTTAGAGTCTGAAAAAGATGGATTTAGAATTTTGAAGGGGAGAGATTTAGAATTTTAGAAAGATGAATTTAGAATTTTAAAAAGATTGATTTAGGATTTTGAAGATCATTTGATTGATTTGATCAACTTACTTCTCATAGCAATATCTTGTATCACTTCAATTACATGATCGGATGCATTGCAATTCCATTCAATTAATAGAAGCTCTAATTTAAGCATTTCTTTTTGATTTGCCGACAAATTTCCTTGTAAATTTTCAAAATTTTGCATATGATATAAAGAATCCGTGTAATTTCTCTTATCATAATAGGCGCATGCAAGAATATATTCGCATATCGCTTTCAAATTCTGCAAAATTAATTTAAATTATGTTTTTTAAATACAGTATTCAACTATTACATTTTATAATAATGCAAAAAAAATCGGAAATTAAATAGGAAATCGAATTCGTTTATATTGCTTAACTAACATATCATATATAATATATCATATACTGAAATTCGAATTATATAAACTAATAATAATATTAAACTATCAGAAATAATTTGCAATCAATTGGATCAGATTAATCTCATTTTCATCACTTAAAAAACTGTCAATAATTTAAAATAAAAATGAAATTGTAATTTTGAAAGAAAACGAATCATTTCTTCCTAAAATAGTATTTTTTAAAATATATGAAAATCATTTATGCTAATTTTTGTTTCAAATTTTAGTAATAAAAAATATCAGTAATTAATTGAAACAAAAAAATTTCTTAAATAATATTTAATTAGCAAGAAAAAGATAAGAAACAAGATTATCAAATTTAACCTTATCATGACAGTTTTCTTTTACATCCATAATATGTGTGATAGCATTACTTATCAAACCTTCTTCCAATTCCAACTTGCTAAGTTCTAATAATATTGTAAGTTGCTCATTTGAATGAATTCCACCTATAGCATCTAAGTATTCTCGAAATAGCATTATAGCTCGTTTTCTTATATTACATCTCAAATATTTACTTTTTAAATTTAATAATAAATTTAAAATATTTCCACATCTATTAGCAATACATAGTATTACTGCTTTCTCTAGAAATTTGCATGCTTCCCATAAATTCGATAAACTTTCAGCTACTTCTGCTGATTCTTTCAAAACTTCAACCTGAAAGATAAAATTCAAAAAGGTGGCAACAACAATTCTTTAGCAGCGTAAATTGTAAATTTTACAGTTAAGAAATTTCATATCAAATTTAAAATATCAGAATAAATTTTTCTAACAATTTCAGGTTAATTTCAATTTTCTACTTAATTCCATGTGATAACTAATATTATTGATTTGTAGTTGAATTAAAATTTAATTTTGATTTTTAAAATGATATCATTGATATCATTGATGTAACCTGTAAATCAATTGATCCCATTTGTGATAGCTCAATTCGATTATTGCAAAGTTTTATAGTCCAATTAACATCTTTAATTAATCGTTTCTCTTCAATCAAATGTCTTAATGTTTCACATTTCCCTTCGATATCATCAATATCATCAAAAAATGGAATTTGCTTGCAAAAATTAAGCAATGCCTGAAATTACATCACAACAAATATTTTCCATTCAAATTGGTAAAATTTCAAAAATTTTAACATTTTAAACAATCCATATTTAAATGAACTAATTATTTGAAACAATAATTGCTTAATTAATTTGTAAGAATAATTGTTTAACAATAATAAAGAAAAACAAAAGACAATATTATATCAAATTTAAGATTTACATTTATTCTTTTTCATTATAGAATTTAATGTTTGTTTTAGCTTTTATAAAATTTTTAATTTCCAATTTTACGAGATTTTTAATTTCTAATTTTATAAAATTTTTAATTTCCAATTTTAGAAGGTTTTCAATTTCTAATTCCTATTTTCTTTTATTCTATTATGATATGATAAAAAATGTAAAATAATAAAACCTTCGATTTATCATTCATTCCAAGATAACACTCAGCTATATAACCATAAATTAGGCCACGTTCACGTCGATGATTCTCTTTTTCATTTGTTAAATTTAATACTTTAATAAAAATTTTCTTTGCTTCCTTATATCGTTGACGAATTAATAATGTACGTCCAATTGATATAAATGCATTTAAACGAGCCGTCTCTTTTGATAATATACCGGCAAGTGTTAAATAACACCTGAAAATATCATCCATTCTTTTAAATATTATTTTAATTTATATTATAAATAATTATCAAACAATGAATAACATTTTGATAATATACTGGCAAGTGTTAAATAGCACCTGAAAATATCCATTCTTTTAAATAATATTTTATTATATATTGCAATTAATTATCAACGAATGAATAACATTTAGCAAAATTTACTAATTAATAATATTTTGATAAAAAATTTAATTCTATAAAATTGGAACAAATTAAAATTTTTCCCTTTCAATGATATCATTTTCAGTTATTTCATTTAATTGTCGAAGAAATTCTTTGTTTCTTTATTTTCTTTCTTATCTTTTTAATATTTAAATATTTCAATATTTCAATAGCTTTTTTAATTTCTGCAAAAATTTGATGAAACTTTTTTCTTATCTTCTTTTAAAATTATATTATTGATATTGATAGTAAGGAATATTTTAATTACTCATAAAGGAATTAATTTAAATTAAAATACTTTTATCTAAAAATTTAATTCATTAAATCCTTAATAAAATATTCGATAATTTAGTACTTTGTAATTTTTGCTAATTTTTGTTTTTGCAACATAATTTTCGATAATTACTAATTTATTTTTACTTGCTTAAATTTATATTATATCTTAATTTAATTGCATTTTGTAATAAATATTAATTCATATAAATAATTTAAAATGATAAGATTAAAATCAATTAATTTTGTTGATCTTATCATTTTTGAATTAATTAAAATATGATAAAAATACCTTAAACATGAATGGCATGCATCCATCATTCCCTTTTTAAAATGAATATTTGCTATCGCTTTGTATAATTCCAACATATTTTCCAGATCAGATAATTGTTGATAAACACTTAATGATTGTTGATAATATGCTAATGCTTCATCCAGATGATATAATAGCCAATGAGTTGTACCCAATTTCATACACAACTATTTAATAACATTAATTAATTAACCAAACTTCTGTTTATGATTAATTTTTCTTAAAAAATCATATTCAATTAAACGCAATTTAAAATTAATTTTTAAACTAAAAAAAAATGAAATTGCTAATTTTATAAATTATTTTTATAAATTAGCTAATTTTATAAATTAAATATTTAATTAAATTTAGCTATTAATTAAATTATTAATTTTTTTTTAAAAATTCATTTTCATAATTTTAATTTTTAAATGTCAAAAAATTTTTAAATTTATTTTTAAATCACAAAAACAAAGACAAAAGTGAAATTTGCCAAAAACTTTAATTTTGAAATTAACAAGAGATCAAAAAACAAAAGAATGAAGAGAAGAGCAATTTATTAATTTAAAAATATAACTTTAGCTTCTTTCTGAAGATTATCATCCTCTTGTACAATCATTAAACAACGATTGTATGCATCAATAGCATCCTCATAGGAAGCGCAATCAAAATAATTATCGCCACTTATTTCAATAATTGAAGCTTCTCGCTCTTCCACCTTATGCTCCAAATATATTTGTTGCGCTTCATTCCAATACTTTTGCGCTTCATCCTTAACTAAGATTTCGTTATATTTATTATTTAATTCAAATTCATTATTTTAAATTACATCGCTTTCATTGCTTTTTTTTCTTTCATCATAATAATCATGATCTTTGTTTTACCATAATAATTATGACCTTTGTTTCATCATAATAATCATGATCCTTGTTTCAGCATGATAATCATGATCTTTGCTTTATCATAATAATCATAATCTTTATTTCATCATAATAATCATGATCTTTGTTTCATCATAATAATCACGATATTTGTTTCATCATAATAATTATGATCTTTGCTTTATCATAATAATCATAATCTTTATTTCATCATAAAATCATGATCTTTGTTTCATCATAATAATCACGATATTTGTTTCATCATAATAATTATGATCTTTGCTTTATCATAATAATCATAATCTTTATTTCATCATAATAATCATGATCTTTGTTTCATCATAATAATCACGATATTTGTTTCATCATAATAATCATGATGTATTTTATTTACAAAATTATTTTCCTTATATTATAATATACAATTTAATGCTTTTATTTTTAAATTTCAAAAATCATTTATAAAAATTTTGAAAATTTTGCATAAATATAAATTTGAATTACTTAGGTAAAAAATTAACAGTTTTGGATTTGTTCAATTTGAAAATTCATTAAATTAAATCATTCATATAAATATAGCTTCAGCTAAATAATTGAAATAACTCCGTTATCAATATCTAATTCTTTAAAGAGTATCATTATGATAAATATTGATAAGATAATTTTTTGAAATTTCATAAAAGACGTGCGAATATATTCGAAATTATCACCTTCCTATTCATTGCTCGATGAAATTGATACAAATTAGTGTGTGAATCGATAATTAACGCATATGCGCCAATTTTCTGGGCAAGTTTTAAATTTTCCAATAGCGCCATTTCAGCTTCATTAAATTGATTTAATTTCTGATATAATTCGGCTAATCGACGCAATCCATTTAGACGAATATCTGTAAGATTGGATGAGAATTTTGTTTTCATTTTCTCCCTTAGTTTCATTAATTACTTTGTTTGTTATTTTAATTGAATAATTAAAAATTGCGAAATTTTTAATAAAGTAATTAATACTTCATTTATTAATTAATTTATTTGCAAAAATAATTTCATGTAATTGATGTTACTGAAATGAAAATAAATATAACATAATCTTACAATCATAGAAGTTTGTAATTACTTATATTACTATAAGATTAATTCTAATTAATTAATTAAATTCAATTTATTTTGTGATAATCTTCTGTTCCAAATTTCAAGCATATAGGTGACAGAATAATAAAGCTAATTAACAAAAATATAAAATAAACAAACCAATTCCTTGATCAATAATAATGCGACAGTATTTATCCCATAGAATTACAGCGTTTGAATAATCATCAATTGCTTGATAAATATTTGATAAATTCCTAATTGTAACAAAAACAAAGGAAGAAGGAAATTTTATTATTTCAAAAAATTTAATTTCAACTAATTGCAACAAATTTTTAATTGCTCAATTATAATGAGTGAAAAGTTTTTTTTTCTAATAAAAAATTAATGAAAGATAATTTTATTCAAATTCATTTCGAAATTCTTTAATTAGACAGAAACAAAAGATGAAGCTTTATAATTTCAATTACTTTAATGCATCAGCTTCAAGTTTTAATGATTCGCTATTTGTTGCGATTTTTAGCTCTTTTTTGGCCCATTTTCTTGCCATACAATATTGTCCTAGAGCCAAGTGACATTCACTCAAAATACCAAAATATTGTCCAATCTTAAATGTATAGCAGCATATCATTCCTTCTCATTTACTATTATTACTAATTACTATTATTATCATATTATTATTACTATTTATTATTATCATTTATTATTATTTATTATTGCTATTTATTATAATTAATTATTACTATTTATTATTATTATTGTTATTGTTATTATTATTTTTTACTATTATAATGGTTAATTAATTATTATTAATGAATTAATTATAGTTAATTAATTAATTAATTAATTAATTATAATTAATTCGTTAATCCTATTTAGTAGTATCATATTTTAAATTTACATTTGTAAATTTTAGCAAAAACTTACAATTTCCGTTGTTATTTTATCATTCTTGAAATCTACCATTGTATTTTGTAAAATTTTCAACGCTACAATTGCTTTTTTTTGTAGTAGAAAACATTTGCATTTCAACATTGTTGCCAAAACTTTCTCATCCATAGTATTGCTTATCACTTCTAACCTATTACAATAGGTTAGTGCCAGTTCGCTATCATTCTAGAAATTTCGCAAGAAAAGGAATTCTTTTAAAAGAAAATTAATTTCTGAAGAAATCATTATTCCTTTTTAAATTATGTCTAATATCATATCTGATAGCTTTACATACCTTAGCTAATGCAATTTTAACAATTTTGAGAATACTTTGAAATGTCAAAGGTGTGATTGCTGCAAGAATTTGTAATGCATGTTGATAGTTACCAAGTTGAATGTATAAATCAGCAAGATTAAGTCGTAAATCATTTGTTTCCATATCATTCTGAAATTAATCTTCTTTTTAAATAATTAATGTAATTAAAATTCAAATTTTTAAATTAAAAAGTTTATTTCTTTTTTTGAAATAATTATGCAAATATTATTATAATTTTTTAATTGTCACATTTTCTACACTTAAACTAAAATAATTTTATTGCATTTACAAACAGAATGATTTAATTGAATTTGTTTTTGAAGATAATTAATTGCAAGCATAGTTTCATCGTTTAGTAATGCGATTCGTACGATAGTGCGATAAATTGTTAACTGTTTGTTTAATTCACCTGAAATAATCTAAGGTAATATTACCATCGAATTTAAACCAAATTATTATTCTTTCAAATTTAAATTATAATTGATACTAAATATTATTGTTGTTATTTAAATCCAAATTAAATTATTATCACTCTTTTCTTATTTTATAAAATTTAAAAAAATAAGAATGATTCATGCAAATGATAAATTACTAATTTTTATGAACAATGTGCTAATTTCATTTTTCAAACTATTACTGTTGAAATTTTGAAAATTAGAAATATTATCAATTAGAAATTAATACTATTAAAAATATCATTACATATCATTATCATTATCAAATATCATTAGCAGTAAAGATTTAGTTGAGGTTTAGTTGTGATAATTGTAAGCTTTATCAATTATCCTTAATTTAATCAACTACAATCATTAGCTATAAATCATTATGCGGTATTATCATTTTTTTTTTCTAATTAAAAATTATCACAAAAAAAATTTTTTAACTCGTTAAGTAATTAATTTTAGTGCATTACTAAATGAAGAAATAAGCTTACCAAATTGCTTACTGATTTCAAGTTGCATATCCAAATATTTGATTACTTGGTGATAATTTTTTTGTTGATAATATGCAAATGAAATAGCACCAAGTACTGATAATTTGAACTCCAATGATGCTACATTAGCTTCATTCATATTTAATGCTAATTGAAGTAATGTAATTGCTTCAGTTATATGACCAATGGTTAAATATTCTTGACCAATCATACTAATAATTATAAATGCATTCAATTTTATATCATTCATATCATTTTCAATTTCGTCCAATGAAAATGATAAATTACCTGGAAAGAAAAAAAAATGATAAGATTATTTTATCAAATTTAAAACAAATGAAAAAAGACCGTATCTTATAATTTAGTACCAATAATATTTTTACTATTTTATTAGTAATTTCTTAATTAAATTTCAGATATAATTAATTTGTTAGATTAAATTTATTCATTAAAACGATATTTGAATTGTTGAAATTGCTACATTTTGGCGGTTTGCACGAATTGCGATATTTTGCTCAAAAATTAAATAATTGTAAAAAGTTGAAGTGAAAAAAATAAATTTGCATACCTTTAATTGAGCTATAATTTAATCCATCTTTTAATGCATTAATTGTTTCAATTTCATTTTCAATTGCTAAACTTTGACAATATGCAAGAATTGCTTCATCAAATTTTCCAACACCACGTAATGCATCACCTTTTCGAAGATAACCCTAAACAAGGCAAATTAGAAGACAGGTTCAAAGGTTAACACAGGTGAACGCTATATTATGGCAAAAATAAATTTTTCAATAATTATAATTATTTTAACATTTTAATGATAATTATTTTAACAAAATATTATCTAAATTTTTCAAAAATTAAAATTAAAAAAAATTAATATAACAAATTTGAATAAACAAAATTTCCCTTCAAACAATTAATTGCTTAATTACTTAATGAAATATTGCTTGCATATTTTTTTAAAACTAACCTTGGCCCATTTAGGATTTAATGCTAACGTTTGTTTAGCATCAGCTAATGATTCACGGAAATATTTGAGGCGTAAAAAAATTGCAGAACGATTGGAATAGAGAATGAAATTAGTTGGATGTAATTGAATTGCTTCATTATAAAGTATTAAAGCTTTTTCAAAATTCCCATCATAAAATGCTCGATTTGCGGCATTTGATAGAGTTGACAGTTTATCACGTGATATCATCTCATTAATGATATGATAATGATCATATCATATCAGAATAATCTTACTTCGCCCATTTATGAGTAATATTTTAAGCTGAAAAAGAAACAAACATTTAAGTAAGCATAGAAGTTATTAAAAAAGAAATATTTAATCATTATAACAGACTATTGAATATAAAAATGTTAAATATTTTTTACGAAACAATTGAATTAATTAAAGGAGACAATTTATAATTATTCCAATTAATAAATAATAAAATATGCAAAAAATATTGGAGTATTTTTTATAAAAATTAAAAAACTAAACAATTTCAAATAATCGAATTGGATGAGAATGATATGATCTAAAATATAAATTTAGAGGCAAAGTTTTTGATTAATATTTTAATAATTTAATAGTGAAATTAATTATGTCAATTTATATTATATTACATATATTCCATTTAAATACTATAATTTCTTTTTGCCTTCTAAATATATATTCAATTATAAATTTGACATTTAAAGTAATTTAAAAGAAAAAAATTCAAAAATAATAAATAATCATTATTAATAATAATCAATAATAATAATCATTATAGCTAAAATTATGATAATTAAAAAATTTTTTTAATTCAATTTACAATTTCTATATAATAAATATTAAGGAATTGAATTAAAATTGAACGATTCTTTCTGAACGGAATAATCAGATGGAATGATGATGGTGGTGGTAAAATGTAGTAGGAATTGAGTTGTAAAATGTGACAGTTGAGGGTGTAGAGTTTTTGGCATCATTGTCCTTGACAAAATTGCACCACCACCATCACCATCATCTTCTAATCCTAATTTTAACTATTATTTCCTCACCTCATATTCTAATTTTCTTTTCATTCTTTCTTCCATTCTTTCTCACACTCCTTTTCCTCTTTTTCTCCTTTCTTCCTTTTTTTGTCATTTTTTAAAAATAATTCTAACCAATTAATTAATTATATATATACATATATTATGGTTCATTTCTCTCTTTTTTAATTACGTGAAATTTAAAATTAATTAATTACTGTTATTATTTTGAGTTACAATAATAAATTTGTTCCATTAATTATAAATTACTAATTAAGAAATATAAAGTAAAATAATTTGCTAATTAATTGCAAGTAATTATTTATAGTTAACAACTAATGATAAATTATCAATTATAATTAATTATTAATGCAATGATAGATATAAAAAGAAATATGTTAGGTAATTATCTACTGATAAATATATCCTATATTGCTGTCTTAATTATTTAAATTAATTGAAGTGAATTTTTTTAATAAAACAATTGCACACAATTTTTCATTTAAAAAAAATAAATAATTAATATTTTATCTTTTTCTTATTCAAAAATACTTTTATAATCTATTTTTAACGAAGATTTTATCAATGTTTACTTTGCGCATTAATCGTTTTAAAATATAATTTTAATAATTAAATTTCCTTTTTTACTTCTCTGAAATATAATTAATAATTCTAAAATATAATTAGTAATTAAAATACTTTTAATTGCAACTTATTTGAGATATTTTGCATTTAATTTGGAAGATAAACAAAAAAGAAAATCGAATTTTTATCTTTTAATTGAATATTTATTTACAACGAATAATGAAAACGTGAAAGAATTACGTTTCACGTAACGTCAACTAGTGAAAGAATTGTGTTTCACTTTATATTAACTGTTTTTTTTAGAAAAAATTATAAATACTAAAATATTATAATTAAAAAGAAACGAAATTAAAATTTAAATGAAAAAAAATTATGCTAAAAAATTTGTTAAAAACAATTATTAAATAAAATTTACAGCTATATATATATTTTTTTTTAATTAAACTAATATGAATAGTTTAAATTAAAAAAGGAAATTATTTTTGAGAATCTTTTATACTGTAAAATTATAACATGAAAATATGAAAATATAATTAATAATTAGTTGCTAAATTATCATATTTATTGTGATAGTTTGTTATAATGTTATTATAAATTAAAAATGATTTGAATAATCTGTGAAAAATAAATAATTATCTTTTAATCACATAATTTTTATTTTTGATTAAATTTTAATTTTGTTAAAGACTATTTTTAGGTAAGTTAGCAAAGGATAATTTAAGATAATTAGTAAAATAATTCAAGTCAGAAGGATGGATGAAAGTTAATTCGCTTAATCTCACACTTTCTTTCATTTCTCCTATATCTTACATTATTTTCATTGCTTCTCTTCCGTAATATACGTCAAATACGTCAATAATATACGTCAAATACGTCTAAAATATACGTCAAACACGCCAACGCGTCAAATACATCAATACATTTCTTTTTTTTTCACTAAACAATGACTAATCAAAAATGACGTGAAAAATATTTATCAAATTCAATGATCGTAACAATCGCTTTTTATGATACGTGTTAGGATATTGAAGCGGAAGAGATATATATATATCAATGATACAGGAAGGATAATAGTTAAGAAGTACTGCAAAATGGAGAGGCCACTATTGATGAATTAGATGTTGTTGGCATTTTCAGCGAATAAATTTAATTTCATGATTTCATCACTTCTCTGACCATAACGAGTATCGTCATTGATTAAGAGGAAGAATTCTTTTTCATTCACTATGTTCATTTATCAATCGTTGAATTTATTCCTCAGACATCATCTATATTTTATCGAATAATGACAATGATGATAATTAACAATGACGATGTTAATAATAATAATAATTAATATTCAATAATAATAATAATGACAATGATAATAATTATTGTCTTTATGATAATAAAGTAATAATGATGACTTTATTATTAATAGTGGTAGAAATTTGTGGTAATTTTAGTGTATTGAAAATGCTACATATGATTTAATAATTTTTGCATGAAATACTTTCTATCATTTAAACATCAATTTCATAGTAATAACAATTATTAATTGTTAATTAAAATTATTTGTTTAAATGTATTCATTAATTATTAATTTGAAATTAAAATTTATTCTTCACTTTTACTTCTTAAAAAAGAATTTCACTTTCGTACAATCATTTTCTCTTTTAAATTTTCAAAATCGAATCATCGAAAATGAAAAGATTGATTTTGTCAAAAAGTTTCAAAGCAATTTGAAGGGATTATTTTAATCGTCAAAAATATGCAATGATTAGCTAATAGAAGAAAAAAAGTTGTGAAATTTTCGTCGAATATTTAAAGGATTTGTAATTAGCAGCTTTTTCCTTCTCTTTCAACTATCCATCCCATTTGTTTTAATTGAAAAATAAAAAATTGATTTTCTCAAATTTTAGTTACCGAAAAAAGTTTTACCTTTTAATTTCCAATTTTTATTCATATTTAATAATTATTTATCGTTACCTTTTAAATCGCAGTTAATTAATTACGATGTGATTAAAGGAAAAAACAAAAAGATTTAGGTTAATTTGCTCATTGGAATCATTTTGTTATTTTATTTCAGTTTTTAAAGTTTTTCTTAATTATTAATTCATTTCAGCTTTTGAACTTTTTCTAATTATTAATTCACTTGAGTTTTTAAACTTTTTTTAATTATTAATTCATTACAATTTTTAAAGTTATTCGTAATTATTAATTAACCTCAGTTTTTTAATATTTCAAATTTAATAATAATACCAAATAAAATTAATTCGATTTCTTTCTCTTTTCTATTTTACAAATAAAATTATTTAAAATTATAAAGTAAAAACAAAAAGCTTTAAGAGATAATTAATCAGGAAATTTTTTCATGCTTAATTTTATCAAACATCGACTAAGATTTCCATTTATTTAATTGATAAATTGATCTTTGATAGTTTGAAATTTAATAGAATTTGAATAATAAAAAATTTCAAAGTCTTTTTTTTTCAAAAAAAAATATTTCGAACGCAAAATATTTGTGATATGTGTGTGATATTGTGTGATATGTGTGTGACATTGTGCGATATGTGTGTGATATTGTGTGATATGTGTGTGATATTGTGCGATATGTGATATTATCTTTGTGATATATTATTTTTGATATTCCAAAATTCAACAAAATATTTAAATGTTTTTAAATTTAAAAATTTAAATTTAAATTTGAAAATATTTTAACTTTTTCTTTTTAAAACAAAAATTCAAAATATTATTTTGATTCTTTCCTTAACATTTGCCATTTTCATTGAATATGTTTTCGTGATGTAATCAATCCTTCAATCATCCATTTTATCATGATTATTTTTCAGTGATAAGTCAAAGATGTTACCAGTGATTTGATTTGTAGGAAATGTAAAAGACATTTCACTGATAACTGATAACATCTCTAACTTATCTCTAAAAAAAAAAATAAAATTAAAATTTAAAAATATTGCTTGAAAATGATGAAAGTGTTTGAGTGATATTTCTTAACATTCTAAATGTTGACAACATATTTATCAAACTTCATCCAATTTTCAAGATGATAAGTTGATTTGTAAGTTTGAAGTTTGATGAAATTCTAAACAGTTAAAAAGCAACGAATAAAATCAATTGAAATAATTAATAGATAATTAATAAATAATTAATAATCAAAAAAAAAAAAGATTTTCTACGAACTTTTTATATCCGACAGATATTAGTGTAGAATTTTTTTGAATATAATTTCCTGAAGAGTTTCATTTAATAAATTTCATTAACTTAAACTATTGGAAAAACGCTTGCAACTTGGAAATAATTATGAATGATTTTAATGATAAAAGTTATTTCCGGTTAATAACCATTTCTAATTTTTATTCCGTTATCCTGAATGCTTCTATTTAACCGTTTTTTATCAATCTTTTCAAGCATTCTTAAGAAAAGCTTATTTATTGGATTGCTTTAAAGTTTAATGCTTAAGAAATCAAATGATTAATTTCATGATGATAAAATCATCATTTTAATTTTTTTAAAAAAAAAATCTACGCTTTTGATAAAATGAAAATTATATTCATTTGATTGATTTGTTAGGATAGAAAATAACGAATTTCATTTTCTTGTTGAAATTTAAGA